CGGGGTGAACAACCTCGCACGAACGCAAGGCAGCCCTGACCTCCCCGGCACCCTCCTTTCCGAAGTTCTCGGCGATTTTTAGAGCACTCAGCCGTGGCGATGGGAGGGCAGGGGGGGGGGAAGTGGGGCTCAGCAAGATCAGGACAATTCCCACAGCAGCATGTGGGGGGAGAGGGGTGCAGACACCCGCACTGTGGTCACAGAACCAAGGAGACCCTGGAAAAGGAGACCCTGTTGCCCAATGCCCTGCCCCAGGCCAACTGCCTCTCCCTCCTGGCTGAAAAAGGGGTGGATAAGCTGTTCAAAATCTCTAGCCATGGCAGTCCCATGACCTCCTCCATCTCCGCCACATTATCTTCGCTCTGGGAGGCTAGGGGTGCAGACACCCGCACTGTGGTCACAGAACCAAGGAGACCCTGGAAAAGGAGACCCTGTTGCCCAATGCCCTGCCCCAGGCCAACTGCCTCTCCCTCCTGGCTGAAAAAGGGGTGGATAAGCTGTTCAAAATCTCTAGCCATGGCAGTCCCATGACCTCCTCCATCTCCGCCACATTATCTTCGCTCTGGGAGGCTTCACCCAACCCTCCTTTGCTACTGCAAGTTAGGCTTGCTCCTCTCAGTCCTTCACCCAGACCTTGAAAGGCACAGGCTTTTAAAATCCCTCCCACCCCGTCTCTGCTGAACTAGGTGTCTATCTGCAAATATCAGTTTGTGGGAATTATCGCCTCACACTCCATGTTGCTGTGAGACAACCTGCAGCTCTTCCAGGCTTTCAACTATGTGATGATGAGAGCTCCTGCCCCTCTCCTCAAGTGACCAAGAGTCAGCTCTCCAGAGCCCAGGTCCCTCCTCCATCACCATGACTTCAGGAGGTCACCGCATCACAGGTGCCATCTGTCTGTCTGCTGTCCTGGCAGGGAGACAGGCCCTAAGATAAACCAATGATGGCAAGAAGAGACTACGGGCAGCAAGAGTTATTGCTCCTGCCATGCATTGCTAAGGCTACAGGAAAGGAGAGGTCTCCTAATGCTGGACCAACAAGCTGCAACATCAATGCAAGTCTCAGCTGATCAAGACCTTAAAGGCAGTTTACTCCTTGCCCTTGTTGCTTTGAAGAGGGGGACCTCACAGGTCTGGGTTCCTGCAGAGCCCCAAGGGGATGCAGTCATTGTGATCTTATTCCCATTTTTGCCTGTGCCCATGCATACTGTCCTGCACAATAAATCACAATAAATCTTTCTTCTCCTGGGCATTCCCACCCACCCGATGCATTGCTGCACTCCACCGCCCTCGCAGCTGCCAGCCATACCAGGCAAAACAAGCCCTGGTCACTCAGCCCTCCATGCTTGGAGGGAATATTCTCATTTTCCCACAGCCTCTGGTGTCGACGCATTTCCATAACCTGGGGGATGCAGGACAGGGAGAGGGAGGATGGTGCAGCAGCCCACCTGGGGACAAATCCTGACCCTGCATGGGGTGAATTGGGATGACAAGGGGGCTCCGCTACCGTCCAGCAGCTCCCACTCTGCTCTGCAGCTGGGTTATCCCAGCCAATTGCATTTCTTCTCCCAACGGTCCCCTCAGGTGTCATGTGCCCCCAGTCTCCCTCCTGCTTCCACCACCCCTGCCTCAGCATCCCTCTGGGCTGCTCAGTCCTCATCCAGCTGTGGGACCCCATTAACACTGTTATGGCCAGACCATGAGTCTTGTCTCATGCAGCACCTCACAGGTGACCCAAAAAGGACACCATAGGTCCTCTCTGCCCTGAGACCAGCCAGAATTCCAGGTGTGAATGCACACAGCTGAGCTCTCCCTTCCAAACAGGCTGGCCATGTCCATCCCAGCTGGTGGGGACAGTCCCCGTGTGGGACTAAGCCCCACAGCATGCTGGGGAGGTGCAAACACAGCTGTGGGCTGCATGCTCATGGCATTTCCAGAGGCTGAGCTCTGCATCCTTTGTCCCCACTCCATCCTCTGACCCCATCCCAGCTCCTGTCCCCATCCTGTGTGACCCCACCAGCCAAGGCAGCGCACACCGAGACATAATGGCAATCCGGCCAAAGGTCTGGGGCGGGCAGCTGCCTGCTTGCTGCCTGCTTGCTGCCCTCACCAAGGCCATCCTCCTGCCCTTCCTCCCTGGGTCACCCACTCAGGGGTCCCCGGTGGGTGCAGGTGTAAATCCTGGGGGTCCTTGGAGGCTTTGATCCCTCTCATTACATTGCCTGGAAGCCCTTGAATTTTAAGCCACCAGGTCAAGAGGTGGCCGGGGGGGAGGGGACGGAGAAACCGAGTATAGGGTGGAGCGACAGCACTATCCCCCATCACCCTGTCCCGCAGCCGGCTCCGGTCCCAGAGCATTGCCACGTTACCTCTCGTCCGCTCTCTTCCCACGCCTCCTCCGCAGCCATTACGACAGACGTCACCCCGTGAACAATGCGAACACACCCGCTCGGGGGATCATCCGCCCCGGCCCCGCTGGTTGTCCACGTGGCAACTAAATGGGCCAGATTGCCCAGCTCTGGCAACCCCACAGGCAAACTCCTCCTGAGGTCACTGTGGTGATGCTCAGCCCAAAAATTGCCATCATCTCTGCAAAAATCCCATCAAACACCCCTCTGAATCTTAAGCCCTTATTTAAGTTTTTCAAACATCGCCAGCAAGCTAATGGCCTTTAAACCACAGCATGTTTTTGCTCTCTGAGCACAAAGAGCATCTAAAAATATCCCTCTCCGATGCTTTCTTTGCACTGCTCCAAGACCCGTGAAGATGCCCAGAGCAGCAACCAGTTTCTAGAGGGCAAGCTTAGTTGTCAAAGCGATCCCCACTGGAAGCGGGGACGTGTTTCTCCCCTCCTTGCCCCTTTCCCCCAGCCAGGCAGCTTAGCCACTGGGTGTCCCTGGCTGGACGTTATCTGGTGGCAGCACCTTGCAGAGCGGCGACCAGGCGATCTCATGCCGAGTGAGCAGCCCCCGCTGAGACGTCAGCGCACTCCACGCGTTTGCTGATACACCCTTGTTGTTCAGCACGTTAAAATTCTGTTTATTTAAGCTGGGTGCGTGCTGGGCTTAATGCTCACTGTGCCAGGGATCGCAGCTCTGAGCGTCCCCGACCACAGCTGTGCCCTGCGGGGTCACGGCCAGAGGGTTCCAGCATCCCCCAGAACATCCTTGCTCCGTGCTTGGGAGCTGGCATCCTAGAGGGAAAAACCTCCGGAGGGCATGAAGAGCAGTGCGGAGGGAGCATCGTCCCCACAGTAGGTGGCAGAGCCAGCCAAAAACAGCCTTTAATAATCCCACAATTTAATCACGCATTGGCAAAAGTTCTGTCACCTGGCTGTGCCCTGGCACAGCACCCAAAATCCCATCCCGCCCCACCAGCCCCATCCCACGCACCTCAGGCCATGCACACGTCAAGCTCCTCTTGCTGCACGCCGAGGGGTTTCCCTCCCGCAAGTTTATTACCCGGCATAAAAATCCCGTCACCAAGAATGTCCCGGTGCTGGTCTGCTACGGTCTCCATCCTCAGCCGGCTCTTGGCGTGCCCCTTGGCGGTCCTTGCCCTTCGCCTGCTCCTCTCTGACACCCCACCCTGCTGCAGGTGGTTTGGGCAGACCTCCTCCAGCGCCGCAGCCTTCGCCCCGAACCTCCTGCCCGCAGGAAGCGATCGGGCAGGAGAACAGCAGTACCAAGTCCTTGCCAAGCGCCAATTTCGGCTGGCTTCTTTTCGGAGCCTTCGGGCAAGAATGCCTGCTCCTCTCATCCTTTCTTCTTTCCAGTCTGCAAGGAAAAACGTTTTGCTGCCTTCATCACCCGTGGCACAGCCTTGTCCCCATCCTTCGTCGGCTCCAGGTGAGGCTCCAGGTTTTTCCCCCGTTCTCCATGGCTGGTTTTTCTTACACGGCAGTTTTCCACCCAGCTTTTGTTCTCCGGCTGCCTGGCGGTGCCTCCCTGTCCCTGCTCCCTGCCAAGCCCGGCGGGTTATTTTCAGAGGTTGCCAGAGGTCGGAAGGACCTGCGCCCTGGCGGGGTGGGGACTAGGAGGGCTGCTTGGCCGGGTGATGGCCGGTGGTGGGGGTCCCCATCCCTCACAGCCTGGG